TCTAAGTGTTTCAGCCAGAAGGCACAAGTAACTTCCATTAAAAAAAAAATATTTTAAAAGATTTTCAAGTTATAAGCTTTGTATTTAAATTATTATTAATCAAAATATGTCTGCAGTTAGATATCATGGCTCTTCTTTTAACTTTGTCCTTATACTGTACCATGTCCAAGGTTCATAAAAATCACACTTGAGTTCATTGAGTTCTTGTGTTCAAATAGCCCAGAACCCTGTGATAAAGAAACATTACACATCCTGCCATAAACTAATGTCAGACAGAATCTTGATAGTATAAAAAAACAAGCCTGCTGTTTTTCCTCAGGGTACGAAAATAAAAAAGTTTTTTTGGTCTTAAAATTAAAGCTGTTTTATTGTTATATTGCAGACATGCCAGCCAAGGCCTGTTGTACGTGACCTAAGAGCTCAGTGTGAGAAAAATATAGTATGGATGATGTATAAAGACTTTCATTACAGGAAAAACGAGGCCTTGAGAAAGTCAGCAGATTCGGAAATCAGCTGATGTCAGACACCTATGAGTCACTGTCATATTTCTGTCACATTTAGCACATTTCTTTTAGGAACTTTTCATATTTTACCCAACTTCTAAGATCTTTACATCATGTAGAGATGTGTAACAAGCCTTTAAAGAAATATATCATTTAAAATGATGATGTGATGTGCGGAAGAATACTTTAGAAATATAAACCCTTTACTTTCAGCATATTTAATCCAAAAGAAAGATGGAACATATCAATTGCTAGACTAGCTGACACCCCTAATAACTCCCCTGAAAAATGTCTTTTATTTAGTAGAGAGGGATGAAAAATGAGTTACAAAGACCTTCTGTCTAATGGTTTTTTTCTACATTTGGGAAAGAACAGGAGAACATGTACAATAGGCAGCAGCCTCCCAAGTCAACATGAATTGATCAGATAGTACAGTCAATTGCTGAAAGAAAAATATTCACCTTATCAGCCAAAGCTGCTGATATATAGTGTTTTTGAAATATTTAAGAAGTAAGAAAATTTAAAACAACTTCAAACAGATAGAAGCAGTCATTTGAATGCAAAACGCATATAAAAAACATCAGCACTATTAGCAGTTCATGAACAATAGGATAATAAGGGGGTATCTATTTTTGGGGGGTGGTAACTATCTTCCTTATACATTTAAAACCTACATAAATTAATATTAAATGGATCTAAGTCATATAGTTAATATACATGGCTGCAGCCATATATCCACACAAGTAAGTTTAATTAGTGCAGGGCATTTATAATAGCAGACACCACTCAAGGGTTTTCTGGTTGGACTGCAACTGTTTTGAGATTAGCTCATAACTTGTTATATTACAGTACAAAACATTTGTTCTTTTAGTACATTTGAACGTTACCCTGAACTAAAAAACTGGCCATTCATAATCATCAGCAACCATTGAAAGCTTGAATTTGGTAAAGCTTTCTCTAAATGGATTAGTACTGGGTTACTGATAAAAAGCTGTTGTGAAACTTTATATTGTTGCCAAAGTCATAGTACTAATGTAAAAATTCATCCATTAGTGAAAAACACATTTACAAATATTTAATCCTGTATAAAATCTTTACAACTTTAATATTGTCTGTCTTATATCTTCCATATTGATTTTTTTTACAGCACAGAAAGCTGGTGATAATTAGGGATTTAACGAAAGAAACCATAACTTCAATATTTGCCATGATGGACTTGTTCTACTTGGACTCCATGTTTATTTCAGTATCCAGCTTAGGACACTGGTTTCAGCCTGTATTCACTGAGATCTATGTCTTTTAGCAGTGACTTTTAGCAGTGACAATACAAACAACATAAAAATAAAACAATATGCCGGTCCCATCGTGGCGTAATCGGAGACAATGACAGAGGAAGTGTGCTCCTGATGTCCAGTCTGCTCCGTAGCTTTGTTTTGGTCGCTGTAATTGCAGAAAATCCTGCTTCACAAAGATAGGATGTTATAGATAGGATGAGTCTTGAACTGAATTAACCTGTGTCAAGAGGCACAGATGCACCGACTGATGTAACTGGGAGAGAATACCGCAATTTATTATATTTTTTAAAATAAAGAAAAAAAAATTTTTTTTTTTTTCTGTGCGGCCCGGTACCAAATGACCCACGGACCGGTACCGGTCCGCTGCCCGGTGGTTGGGGACCGCTGCTTTAAACAACATCTAGCAACAAAATGCATATACAGGCAGTTTTTTGGTCTAGCTGTATAAATCTATTTTCATGACATGTTCTGCATGCAAACATCTTACTTTCCCTGCATCGAAAGTAAGTAATACTGACCTTGTTATCTAGAAAAGCAGCAATACACAGAATCTTACCCTTCAGTTTCTAAATAAATGCACATTAAGCGCCTGTGTGTCTCTTTTAAATACGACAGTTTTAGACAGATTTATTTATTATTTTATTCATTTAAAGCTACAGTGTGTAATAATTACAGGGATATACAGTCAGAAATGTAATATATTATACATAACTATGTTATTTATCATCATCTACGAGCTCAGCCTCTTAACGTTAATATTTGCTTTGCCTTAGAATTCATTATTTATAATTACATAGGAGCGGGTCTTGCAGCCTTGGAGGCAGACATCTTTGCGCTACGGCAGCGCAGAGCCAACAAACTAGCCATTGCGAGATCGCCAAAACGTCACAACGATGTAGAAAAAATAACGGGTATATTTATTATCTTAAGTCTACATGAAATCTATACCCTACACAGACTAATGAAATACTATCTGTAAAATTAGCTATGTAAACAAACCTCATCACTTGAGAAGGTAGGTGATGCGGACGTCGTGGAAGACATTTTGTCCCGTAACGCTCGCCGTACTGTTGGGGGGGAGAAGCGGTGGGGGGGAGAAGTTCATGTTGCTACAGTCTGACCGCTAGATGTCGCTAAAAGTTAAACACTGTAGCTTTAAATGAGAAACCTTTGAACAAACATCTGACTTTTTATTGTCAAATAACTAGCAGTTCAATCTGAAAAACTCACACAGAGAGAAAAGATAATTAGAAGAATTTATTGATAAGAAAGTATAGTCTTTGGCGCTCAGACCTCGGCAGGAACATTCATGCTGAATTATGCTTTAACATGCATGAGTAGATGAATGAGAATAGGGATGTTCCCCCCGGCCTGAAACTGGTGGTGGTTTGATCTGAGCTGGTTGACAAGGTGATCTGCTGAGCAGAATTGTGGGACTAGAAGACTGAGGGAGCTGACGCTGGGGCTTCACTCAGACTCGTGATATAGAGGTCCTGCTCGGTGATGCAGGTACCGTGAACTGTCCATGATGAGCAAGCATGAAGCGACAGTGGAGAGGAAAAACTCCCCTTTGGGAAGAAACCTCTGGCAGAACCGGGCTCAACATGGTGGTCTTCTGCCGGACCAATGCGATGAGACGAGGGATGGTGACAACTGGGATTAATACTCTCTGATGAGGTTGAAGTGAAGTCGTGTCATGAAGGACGATTCAGCTGCGATGGCGGAGAAGGGGATGGAGGTGGGTGAATTGTCGTCTGAATCGAAATCCGACATTGCGATTGCAGGATAGCAGCTGGGATGAGGATTTGAAAGGAGTTTATAAAGTGGAAGCAGGACGCTGATTGGGCTTCGTGGTGGAGTAGTTCGAAGCTGATTGGCTCGCTTTGGAGACGGATCAGCTTCTGATTGATGGAGGTAAGTCAGAGTTTCTTCAATTGAACTTCCGCTAGAGCTTCATTTATTTATTGTTCATCTGATTTGAATATATTTGATCTAAACAAAACAAAGATGTTTGGTATGTGGATGGTGTTTCATTACTATCTTAGAGACTAAGGTCAACGCCCCCTGCCATTTAAGCTAGATATTTTAAAAGCAATTGATTGTTTTGGTTAATACATTTATGTCTGCAAGCAAATCACTCACAAAATTAAAGTTCAGATTTCTTTATGATTAGGCTATGACAATTAAATATTAATTTGTTTTAACACTTTTTAACCATTTAGTTGTCTTTTACCAGGTGCCAGATTGAGTGTACTGTACTAAGGGCTGTATCTGTGGTCTGGTATATCAGGAATACTTAAATGCATTTCAATTTTCTCCTGTTGTATAGAAAACTGACCTATAAGCAAAATTACATGCAAATATTAAAATTATCTTATTGCAAATGCTGCTGCATGTAGACAGACATGGAAGAGTAGCACTACTTCATTGTGTTATTTTGAAGTTAAAGTAAAAAGTAGCACAATAAAGAATTACTCAAGAGTAAAAAAGGTGGTGTGCAAAAAATGTCACTCAAGTACTGAGCAACTGATCCACTTACAGCTCAGATCATAACATCTGATTTAATATTTAATGACGATGTAAAGATATATGCATCACTCATGATGTGTGTCTGTATACAGGCAAAGCCAGCCCCTCCATACCCACCCCCTTTGTGTAAATACTAAGTTTGACTGGAAACAGTAGCAGGTAAACAGACTATATTTCTGTCTCAGCAGCCAGAGTGAGTCAGGCACCAGGATCGCCACTATGCTGGATTGGTCCGTCCTTTGCCACATCATTAATGGAAAAACACCACGAAAGCAGAAGAGACAGTAACGGGAAAGCAGAGCTCTGGCTGAACTGTAAAAGAGCCCTTCTGTCCATGTTCTGGCCTGCAGCCAGATGGCAGCTGCAAAGGTGTGTCAGGGAAAAGTGCAGTTAGGAAAAAGTAGTTAGGTCCACTTTATAAACTCTACAGTGACCCAGACAAAGTCCATGAATTACATTTTGTGGGAGATTGGGTTGTAAATTAGAAAAAACAGCTGGTCTGGGTTTGTCTCAAGGACTTTAAGTTGAGCGTTGAAGATAAAAGACGGACTTTGACATAGAAGTCATCATATAAAGTGGAGAAGCACCAAAAGGCTGTTCTATCTAGCCGAGAGAGGAAAATGGCCATGTGGAAGACAGTTGGACCTCTGTTCCTACTACTGCATGCTGGTAAGAACTGTTTTTTTTTAAGAGAAGTTAAATACACACCAACTGTTAAATAAGTAGATGTTTTTTCATGAACACCTTTTTGAGAACATCCTGTAATTTTATTTGGATATGCTAAGCAATACATGTAACATTCCTGAGCCAAAAAAAGGAATATTTAAATATAGGTATAAATTTTCTTTGTATCTTCTGAAAAAATTACGTAAAAATTTAATATTTAAAATACATGGGTGGCCGTTTCTGCAGTAGCTGCAGTTTGTTTTGAGAACATTTTCAAATTTTCTGTCCTGTTCAGTTAAAAAATACTGAATAATATTTTTGTAATCATCAGTGTTCGGCCAGAGCACCATCAGATGGTGCACTGTCTCCGACCAAGAACAAAGGAAATGTCAGGCTATGTCCCAGGCTTTCTCTGAAGTCTCCATCCGTCCCTCCCTCAGCTGCATCAAGGGGCTCACAGTAGAGGGCTGCATTAAGAAACTACAGGTAGGATTTCCACAACATGGATAACATAAATCTGCAATTTATGAGTTATGTTAAATAAACTCAAATCAATTTTCATGTTTTCAGTAAGCACAATGCATAGCAGAGAACTCATGAAAAAATGAGAAAGTGAAACGTTTGATTGGATTTCCAGGTTACCATTAACTAACAAAGCCTCAACTCCATCTGATGTTAACATACCCTTTGTACAACAGAGAAATAAATGTTAAATGCTAATGTTTAAATGCAATTTATGAAATGTGCGAATTTATATGTAGTTAATCCATGCCCCCTAAAGATGAGAGGATGACAAAAATATCACCATAATAAATCCTGACATACGGTATTTGCTATTCATCACTTCAGGATAAAGAAGCCGACGCCTTGTCCATGTCTGCCCCTAACATCTACGAGGCCATGAAGACCACCACTTTCAAAATGGCTGCAAGCGAATCAAAGGCTGGTGGTAAGATTCAGCATTTGACTGAACTGCTCTTACATAATGTTCCCCATATATAATCTCATAGCTTTGTTGCATTATGTGATGCAAAAATTGTAATTGTAGTTTTAGTTTTTTTGTTGTTGTTTTTTTCAATTTCATGCTCTGCCCCAAAATCTGAATAGACTTGTAGTTTTTGAGTTTTATTTTTTGCTTTGAAATAGAGGCTATATTTGTGATGGTTCTATCTTTCTTGGTTTATCTTTACTTATCATGACTGACTGATTTGTTAAGGCAAACGAAATTGATAACACACTGTATGCTTTTTATCAGTAAAAAGGTAACACATTAAATGTATTGTGATAAATTATTAACTGGAGGTAAACTGGGTGAGTCGAAAAGTGTTTATGCAGGCAGATTTTTATTTGAAACACCTGTTATATCTGGACTGTAGTATCTGTATTGCACTTGGTACATCTTGAAACCTTACTGCACTTTGATCATAAAAGTGATATGTCTCTGCTCTGATGATAAGAGTAGAGAACCACTGAGCAAAAGTATATAGGATAAAGATATACAAGCACATTTATAGGTCACTGTTTCAATATATGCTGTGGTTTTCACCAGATACCAGCTCCTACTATGCAGTTGCTGTTGTGAAGGCGGCTAACTCTGCCATAAAGATCAACAATCTGGCGGGGAAGAAAAGCTGCCACACAGGGAAAGGGCGGACAGCTGGATGGAAGATGCCGTTGGGATACCTCATTGACCAGGGTTACATGTCTGTGATGAGTTGCAACATCCCACAGGGTAACAATCCATAGGAATCAAATTAATTTGGACAAATTATGTACATATACAACATGATGCAGGCATGAGCCACAGGATTGCATCATAGCTGCAGAATTGCATTAGGTCCTCAATCAGATTTTTGCTCCATTTCCCTATGCAAGCAAGATTTAAAAAACCATGAGCAAAATGTTTTGCTAATTTTGGGAGGGGAAAGGGCATTTATAAAATATAATTTAAAAAAGTAACAATGATTAATTTTCTGTCATACAGATACATTTCTGATTCCTTTTTTCTATTGTATGCAAGTAAATCCCAAAAACTGTTTTTTTTCCCCAAGCTTGTGAATTAACCACATTTATTTTGCTTGTAAATTCCCAACATACACTTTATGGTCTTTCAAATGAAATAAATGAATGAATAAATGAAAATAAAGTTCTACAGTATATACAGTATAATCAGCATGCATGTATGCTTTTGCTTGTGTTTTTGATCAGCTGTAGCAAATTTCTTCAAAGCGAGCTGTATCCCAGGCGCAAACCAGGCTGGTGATCCTCCTTCTCTATGTGAGCTTTGCAAGGGAGATGGCAGCGGAAATCACAAATGTGAGATGAGTGAGCAAGAGATGTACTACAGCTACGAAGGAGCTTTCAGGTAGCACATGCCTTCATAATAATAATAATAATTGAACTTTATTGATCTCACATTGGAGAAATGTACCTCTGCATTTAACCCATCCCCTTGGGGAGCAGTGAGCTGCCATTGTGTGGCGCCCGGGGAGTAGTGTGAGGTTAAGGGTTTCAGGAACCCAGAGTGGAAGCTGCGGGGATCGAACCAGAAAGATAGACAGACAGACAGACAGACAGACAGAAGGATGGACAAAAGCATATAGATAAGACAACATTGCTTTTCAATACCAACAGCTATCTTCTTTAATGTTTTCATTCTAGATGTCTGGCAGAAGATGCAGGAGAGGTGTCTTTCATCAAACATACTACCGTTGGAGAAAACACTGATGGTAATAACTGACAAACTGTACGTTTATTACTGTTTTTGATTAATTAATGAGACCGCTAACCAGCCATTTGTCCTGCAGGTAAAGGACCAGCATGGGCCTTGCCCCTAAAGTCTTCAGATTATCAGTTGCTGTGCAGAGATGGGACCAGAGCTCCTGTCTCTGATTGGAGTCGGTGCCATCTAGCTCGTATCCCCTTTCGCGGCATTGTGGTTGGCAAAGATATTACTCCCTCTGTGGTACTCAACATGCTGAATGATGGTTTGGTAAGTTGAATGGTCCCTAATCCCACTCAAATTATTGTCTAGATTCTTAAATTGGACTATAGTAAAAACAAAGGCAGAGGAGAACAGTTGCCACCAAATTGAAGCATGCCAAGGTTTGTGTATTCAACCTTAATAACAAGGATATCCCTCAAGATGAAAATATCTCATCATTATTACTAACAACATATTTTAAAGAAACCAAGGCTAAAAGAGTATATTATAAAAATTACAAGCTAGAGGGTTGATCTTAATGCATAACAATAAAACATGTAGTAAAAACATTATATTTCAACTTAAGTTCAGCTGAAGGATAGCTGTGTAATAAAAGCTCAGAATGTAGGACCCAATATTTAAGGCGAGACAGACAGTGGGAAGGTTAAAAACATTTATCAAAATAAGACAGAACACCGCCCATCACTGACACTCTGGCTAGGGAGAAACACAGGTAAGTGACCATGATAATCTGAAAGATGATTATCCATGAGGGTCACTTACCTGGTTCAACAGTTCACTCCATCTTCTCGAATGAGGCAGGATCGTGCTGATGGACTTCCAATGAGATACGGTGGGAGTCGCCCAGAGTGTCCCCGGTGCAGCAGCCTCAGTGAACAAGCATTAATCCGAGCCAAGTCAGGGAAACAGTTCCGAACAGGAAGGCTCAGAGATCCAGGAGTCGGCAATCCGGCCAGGGGTGTCAATCAGAACAGGAACAGACAGATCCAGGGTTCCAGGAATCCCCAAAGCGTTCATGCAAGTTCAGGGTTCAATGAGTCCAACAGAGAGTACAAGCAGAAACGCTCAGATAGAAAAAGGCAGGCCCAGTAGTTGAAAGCCAGAACAAGACACAATACCAGAAAAACTACGGAACTTTAAACTAGCTCCCTCCACTGAGCCAACATAGGAACAGGGCACGCTCAGTGGATGAAAGCCAGGATATGATCAGTAAACACTAAGACAAGACTAAAAAGCCTCTCTAACCACTGGCCTCTAAGAACGAGAACATGAACTATGGAAATCAGCCATGATCTCCAACTAAAACTCAAATTCAAACAAATGTTGTCAATGATCTCGCCCCGATAGCTGGGCTGAGCCGTATATAAAGCAGCAGGAGCAAAAGACTAGACTACAATACTGTGTTCCGTATTACACAGCTAATCTAAACCACATAATGAGGTGCAAGTGGCACACCTTTGATTAATGACTACTGCATGTGTATTAATGTCTACTGAAATATATAATGTAGAAGAAAATGTAGCTTCACTAAGAATTGTCTTAATTAATAAGTAAATAAACATTCATCTTTGCTACTCAATGTTTAGCGAGAGCTCTGACAGACAATCACCCAGGAACATAATCAAATATATATTTTTTGATACTCTCTCACAACATTACTATAGTGCAGAAATGCAAATGTAATCTGAAATTGAGGATCAGTCCCTGAAAACATGAATTCATTATAAAAAATATTGATTCTCACGAAGATACCTGAAACAGCTTAAAGAAAATTTGAAGCTCATCATTAGTGTAGAGCCTTGGGGGACTTCCCTTTAATTTTTTAGAAAGCTGGGCTTCTGTGTTCTACCTGAAAGGTAGTTAACCTTGATCTTGCAAACACATATCAATGAGTCTTAACACCAAAATATTATTCATAGAATTCAAGCATGGGGGTCAATATATCCCTCCTGTGAGGCTTTATTAATGGTGCGTATTTGAACAGTAGCCTTTCTTTTTTAGGCAAAGTCAGGCTTCAACATGTTCTCTTCTGCGGATTATGGTGGAGGAACTGTTCTTTTCTCTGAATCAACGACCAAGTTTGAGGGGGTAGAGTCAGACGACCCAATAAGGTGGATGGGCACCAACTATTACAACGTCATGAAAGCCACGGATTGCACACCTGCAGGTAAGGCAATAAACATGTGAAGATGTAAAAAATCTGAAAAGCACAGAGTATTAAGAGATTGGATTTTATTAATTTAAACATTTGTTTCAAGAAAGTTAAAAAGAATTTATTATCCATAAAAATAAACAAAACAGAACAGCAGCAAATGTGAGGAGAAAAAATAACAACCTATCACTTTTATGTGTTTTTCTACTCAGACATTCCTTCTTCGATTCGATGGTGTGTTTTGTCGAGCGCTGAGCAGCAGAAATGTGGTGATATGGGTAAAGCCTTTGCTGACAAAGGTCTGACCCCCAGCATCCAATGTATTTACGGAGACTCTCTGACTGACTGCATGGCCAAGATCAAAGTAACAGATTTACAATTAAAGATTTAGCTTATTATATTGACAGGAAAATGTTTAACATAATCTCAATTTCACTTTCATTGTGTAGAACAATGACGCTGATGCCATAACCTTGGATGGAGGGTACATTTACACAGCAGGCAAAGACTATGGTCTGGTTCCTGCTGCAGCCGAGAGCTACACAGGTACACAGTCTGAAAAGAACAAATATGATCATGTTTTTTAGAATCATGTTATTGTGTTTGAAAACTCTTAAATTCCTGATTTTCTCTTTTGTAGATGACCATGATGGTTCCACGTACTATGCTGTTGCAGTGGTAAAAAAAAGCAGTTATGACATCCCTAATATTGACAGCTTGCGTGGCCGTCGCTCCTGTCACACTGGCTATGGTCGCACTGCTGGCTGGAATATTCCTGTATCTACCCTGATGGAGAAAGGACTTATTAGCCCCAAAAACTGTCTGATACCCCAAGGTTGGTTTGAGTGTGTGGGAGCCAAGAATGATAGGAAATGACATGTACTCTGTCTTGCTGACAACAGAAAAGAATTATTCAAAACAAAAGCAATGTCTTAAGAAATTATACCCTGCCGGAGCACTTGACCACCTTTAGAAGAAGTTTGTGAATCAAAACATTACAATGTTAAACCCTGTGTGGTGGTTCCAAAAATATGATAATAACTTGTTAAGTTTAAAATTTACAAAAAAAAAAAAAAAAAAAAATAGCTCTGCATAACAAAATCCAATGTAAGGTGAGGTCAAAGAAGGGCGAATCGTGCAGAGAATGGAGAGATCTGACCAAAGTATGAAATTAGTCAGAGCAGAGAGAATAATTACAGGACTGACAGATGACTGTAGGAGATGACTGAACAATAAAAGATCACAGGAAAGTGCTGAAGATGTGCCTCCAATGCAGATTTGATGTGTAGTGAGGGAATATGCTGAGCTCTGGAGAGGTCTGTAGAACCTTGAACCCACTTAGACTAATTTTATTGCCATTTTGTATACACTCAGTGTATTCAAAATGAAATTTCATTTTGTACAGCTCTCATGACATTTCCATTCCTTAAAGTGCAGCAGTGATCAAATACAAAGATTTTAAGATCAAATGTAAAGATTCAGTGCTGTGATGTAAAGACGGGACTCTGAGAGTCATGCCTTCAGGTAGCCTGTTGAACCAGACTAAATGTGAGATTACAGTAAATGTGTAATTTAGTCTGGCCCTGATGAATGAGACATCGGAAGATAGTTGATGAGAACAACCCCTTGTTTTTCAAACCATGTCTGTGCCTATTGGCAAACGCTCTGACCAATGAGCTTAACTGACTGTGATGTAGAAAGCTGGTGGGGGAGTGTTAACAAACAGCCTGTCGGTAGAACTGCGAATACGTCCTTCTTAAAAGCAAATGAGCGTAGGGCCTCTTCCCGCTCACGTTTCAACAAAAACCCAAAGTCTAAACCTTCCAAAACTGATTCCAAAGCTGAGTCAAAATCTGCCGTCAGAGCTAGCGGTCCTTCACACAAGACTATGCCGAGAGAGGCCCGCTGCAGACGGGCTGCGGTTAGCCCTGGCTGCTGTTAGCCTTGGAAGTTTGCTGGTTGCCGCGGTCCTCTGAACAAAAAAGTGTTTTTTTTTTAAATTACGCATTAAATCGGTAAATGGACCATATAGTGACGCTTTAAAGTATAATATTCTTGCCTCAAATGATCTTAAAACATACTTTTATTGAACAACAGCAACAGAAAATAGAACTTTTAACTTTCAATGGAGCGCTCTATTGAAAGCTGCTGCTGCCGAAGTGCATGCCACTGTTCAATAGTTGTTGCCATCTTCCTTGTTGTGCTTTCTCCAGCGTTGCGCAACTCTGTAGTCATGCCCTCAAGACCCCGCCTGCTTTGCATCCAAAATTCAAAACACATCTCTGCGTTGTGATTGTCCCTCCAGTTCTAGAGCCTGGGGCATTGATCGAGGCTAGAACAAACTCGCAGGCAAAAATTATTTTGGCCACTGGCAGGTGGGGCTAGTTTACTAGGCTAGCCTTCAGGCTTATTAACCCAACCTTGGGCTAACGATCCCTATCTTTTAGCAAAAACTGACATGTTCTACATTCATCCTCTGTGCATTCCTTAGCAAATACTTAGCATCTTACTTTGTTTGCCTCCCCAATACAATACATAGTGTGCAATATAAATATGTAAAATATTAGGGGATGGGGAAGGACCCAAATAAAGCAATAAAAAATAAATGAAACTAATTAGTCCAATAAGGAGTAGATGGATTAGAGTACACGGATTAAATGAAAAATCTCTGGTGTATATTATCCAGAGGTGTCCTGCTTAACATGACTTTGTATTTTATGACTCCTGTGATGCTTAGCTGTGGGCAAATTCTTCCAAGAGAGTTGTGTTCCCGGTGCCAATCAGGATGGATTCCCCAGTAACCTGTGTGGTCTGTGTGTGGGAGACAGCTCTGGACAGAAGAAATGTGAAAAAGGAATAGATCTGTATGATGGATATGATGGAGCATTCAGGTACTGAATATAATCTCCTTTTGTTTTTCCTCTTCAGAATGGCATGCTTTTCTGTAGTTTTTCTAATTTTGTAGCTGTTTTTAAAAGTTATATTGTGCTCAATATCATACAAAAAAACAAATATAAGCTGTAATTTTAAAGAATGTAAAATTGTTAAAACAGTGGCATTGTTCAATAAGCTTTTAACACAATGTTTGCCAAAAGATTTTTGTCAGTGGAAGAACGAGGGAGCATTAAAAGGGTTTCATGAATAAAAAGTAAAAAGTGTATTTAGTCCCACAGTGTCAATAACATACAACCATCTGTCAATCAACCTTTATGGCACTTACTGGTGCAGCTAAACACAAGAAATAAAGCCTCTTCTTGTAGCTCTGACAACATGTTTAAAGTGGACCTTCTGTAGGATGAACCTTTGCCCCATTTTAAAGTCTCAGTGATGTCCTATATTAAGATTAAAGTTCCCATAAATCCTGACCAGTTTTGCTGTTTCTTCTGGAGAAAGTCATTCACACACAATGATCATGCCACCATTCTATTTTTTTTTTTGTGTGTGTGTGTGTGTTCTTACCTGAGCAGAACAATTCATGTTTGATTCTTTTAAACATTAGCTTTCTTTCCTTCTTCTAATGAAGGCTCCCACCTGAGCTGTGGGTCTCTTTAGTTGATTTAACAATGGATTTATTGATTTTATTTATCTCATAGTGGAGAAATGTATTTGTTAGTTGTCTTTAAAGGATCACATTTGTGCCATTCTCTCCATTTTTGGCTGATGGGTTAAATAGTGTTATTATTATAATTTAGGATTAGTACTTTGCACCTGCCTTGCACCAGAAAGCTCTCACCTTAACTTGACTAAATATGTTGAACCACAGTAGCAGTTTTCTGTTATTACTTTAAATTGAATTTGTAAGCAATGTAATGTAAACGTGTTGATTATGCATACAAGTGCCGAATTGAGAGTCATCATTTTGTGTAGGAGCATTATTTTTCCAGGAGCAAAAATATGTTTTCTTTTGTTGAAAAATAATTTTATTAAAATAACTAAAAGTTAAAGAAATATGGTAGATTTCAAGATGAGAAAGAAGAGAGAGTTTTAGAGAGTAAGTATAAATTAGACCTTTTGAAACAAATCAAATTATTGAATGTTCTCCTGGGACTTTATCACCAGATTTTCTTCTTCAGTCTGACCTTTGTTATCCCAATGATTCAGTATCTACAGGTCTCAGCATTTATTGAATTGGACGTAAATTTAGAAATAAACAAAAGTAAAGAATATTTCATACAAACTACATGGTTACTCACTGATTTTTAGAATGACTTTGCTCTCATTCTAGTTGTGGAACTTTATATTTAAGAAAAACTGACATGGAGACTTTGCTTCAATATCAAATGTGGATGCTTAAGAGATCTTTTTTTTTTTTTCATTTACTCATTTAGGTGTCTCGCTAGTGGGGATGGAGACGTGGCTTTTGTCAAACATTCCACTGTTTTCCAAAACACAGATGGTACGAGAAGTTCTTTAAAGACATCTTAAAACAGGTCTAACGGATTCAGAAATTAACTTGCCTGGCTGCTGTTTTTTTTTTTTAGGGAATTCAAAGGAAAATTGGGCTATAGATCTTTTGTCCAAAGACTTCCAGCTGCTCTGTTCCAATGGAGCTAAAGCTGAGGTCACAAATTACAAGCTGTGTAACCTGGCCAGAGTTCCCTCTCATGCTGTAATGGTGCGACCAAACACCAACATCCATGCCATCTATGGACTCCTGGAGCGTGCACAGGTAAGAAAGTTCCAACATTGCATGTATAAAAGTAAACAGAGGTGTCAAAAGTGTTAACGTTTATTACTCAAGTAGAAGTTGAAATCCTACTGTTTAAAAAACACTTTTGTAGAAGTTAGACTATCAACTTCAGCTTTTTACTCAGGTAAAAGTGTAAAAGTACAATTTTTAAAACTTCTTAAAGTATAAAAGTATAAGTAATGCAGCTGATGAAGGTTCTCAGTCATCCAGGTCATAGTCATTCCGTAAAAATTCAAAAAATC